ATGCACCTTTAGATAATTTGCATGGAATTCCATGCATGAAAATGAGGCACAATCAGATTTTGACACTTTTTTTTCTCTCCCTAGCTAATCTGTTTTCCCACTCGATCAACATCATCAGATGTAAAGACTTGCTTTCGCTTTGGTCCATTTAAGCATCCACATCACCTTTTCGATGACTTTGATGCCTATGAAACGAAATCCCCCTTATCGCTGTCATGCGAGAGAATGAACCTTAGCTGAGTGCCTGAGCTAGCAGTTGTTTGCACTTGGCAGAGTTGCAGGTCTAGAAGTTAAGATCAACTGCTCTTTGGCATTTGGCACTGGGCCAAACTAATAATTAAACAGCATTTGGGCTGCTACTATATGTACTCTGTCATGTTGTGGACTCTGTACTTCCAGACTGAATAAAATAGATACACAAAATGTATCATCTATGTGCCTCCTAGACAGAACAGTGGCAACATCTTTCTCTGGTGCCTGTCATGTTTATGATCTGTAATATATATATAGTCACTTTGGTTCGGATTACATGTGAAACATCACAGGACCAGAACATGTGAGCATGATGATAAGATTGCTAAAGCTTTGTTTTAGTCCCACAAGGGTAATAGGAGAAGAAAAGGGGTATTAGGTTGGTATACAAAAGAGAGGCCAAGCTAGAAGGAAAAGCATACCTTTCTCGGCCTTTTGGCTAAGATCAAGTGTAGTATCTGTTCTTATCAGTTTAATATCTGATACGTGGGGCACTGCCTCACATGATATTAAATTAATTTTTGTTCTTAGGGGGTGTCTATCACAACAGCTTGCTGTTGGGACTCTCAAGCGTCGCCCATGTGTTGCACTACTGCAAGGGCCTGGCGCACCCTACCAAATTATTGTTGAAATATTTCCTTCTTAGATACTAGTGAATGATAGTGCAGATGACTGAATGATGGCGCACCCTGCAGATTAATGTTAGTTGATGTAAGTAGTGATGTGAGGTCATAGACTCATCGGACACTACGTCATAGCTTGAAAAGCAACTAATATGAATCTGCAGATGACTTTGCTAGGCTTAGTTACAGATGACTCAAAACTGGCAGGGATTGAGGATGGAAGCTGGCTGAGTTACAGAACAGGGCAGTCTGCAGTAGCAGTGAACAGAGGATACAAGGCAGTGCATGAATACTGGATGAAAGTATGTATGTAGAAGGCATGTCCTCGATAGGATTTGAACTTTTAACTAATGGTGCATTTTATATGTAGGTACCCTAGTCAGGGCCAAAACGATTTGTTTGCTTTCAGAACAGTCCCACATTGGAGATACGCATGAACCCGGGGAAAAAAAGTAATACAAAACTATGGACTAGAGCAACTGTAGAACATATATACTTTCCCACATTGGAGATACACATATATACTAACCCCCTAGGTTAGTGACCTCCATTGCACTCAGGAGGGGCACTCGCCTAAGATATCTCCAAGTGGGATAGTCTACTTCATAATTTGTTGCTGAGGGGGTACGCGTTAGTGTGGCCCCTGCCAATCTTAAGATAAAGTCTGTACATATACTGACCCAATGTTTGGAGTCTGGACTGTCTTCTAAAAATATTACTTTTATAGAGATTACAAGTTTACAACTGGCTAGGATATGAGTATATGGCAGACAACCCCCTTCTTAATTCTAATCCTCAGCTAACTGCTTGAAACTAATTGGTGTTACAAATTTGGGATCCCCGTCGTATAAAGTTTGAGCTGCCAATTTTGCGGTAGCCTGTGTTGGATGCAACCAATCCCAAAACAGATACTCGTCACGATTTTGACAAAGACCAACTTCCAGTATACATGGAAACAAGTCACTTCCACAACAAGGGTTTGCCAGTTCCGTGAAGTCTAAAATACAGGAAAACCAAAAATTATTCTTGTACAAGTACTACAAATGTAAAGCTTTCTATTTATGTTATTCAAGTGAAATACTTACTGAATTTGTAAGCATTAGTCATGAAATCCATCGCCATCTTATAAGTATTCCCAAGAGAGTATTTCATTTCTTTTAGTTCAGAGCCGAGACGAGGCAGCATAGCTACCATTTTCGAATAGAAAATTCGAGAGTACTTGTTCAAGTCCTCTACACATTCTGTATCATTGAAAATTCTTTGAGATGGAACACACCCGAGTGGTGAGACGCTTATTATCCCAAATTTTCTTGCTCCATTTGAATATAGAGTCTGCATGGCTTATACACAGCAGAGTTCAGATTCAAGTACTTGATATAATCGAACGAACAAAATATGATCAAAAGAAAGAAACTTCTCACCCTTAAGTGATTCTCGTATGCATATACAAGTGTGGAAACAAACTTCTCCTGGTTTAAAGTTTTATTGAAAAGATAGTATTCGAAAATGTCATTGCTTGCAATGCTAAAGAAATAGACAGACTTCGAAAGTAGTGTATCTGTCGCATTTAGACCCAAGATTTCAGTAATATTCCCGCGGACAGTTGCAAATTGTTGTATCTGTTTAGTGAAGGAAACTATCTGTTCCTGTTGATTTGTCATATAATTGTTACAATTACATATATATGTAAATTAAATCAAGCAAAACATGTTCCATTAGATGTTCACGGCTATAACTTTAAGGTAGATAGAAGGAAAAACTTACTTCTAGTCCCCCTGTATGTTCAAGTAATTCAGCCCCTCCTGATGCAAAATTGGCACCATGGATTATATCGTTGGGAAGACGTAGGGCTGATCTGTCGAGAAAATCCAGAAAAGGTAGAGGACTCTTCATAAATCCCATCCGCTGGGCTGTTACAATCAATCATTCATGAAATGTTATATACAATTACTCCCTACTTAGGTACAGCGGAAAATATTTTAAGCTGTGACAAACTCTTGATTTATACATACAAAGAAAATCGGCAATGTTATAACCATTACTGAACCTCCCAGTAGGTTTCGAGCCTGGATAATCTATACCATAGGGAGGAAAGTTGGCCTTTGCTATTGGTAAGATGAAGTGGTTATTGGTCCCAACATCAGCAGTAGAGTCCCCAAATATGAATACAGCCGGAACAGTAGTTGCATCCACAGCCATGGACAGATATGAAACTAGTAGTACTAAGGAATACAAAACCCATTTCTCTTCCATGGATGTAAAAAGGGTCCTCTCCAAGTTAACAGAATTAGTGTTCTTCGCGATATGATTTATATATATGAATTCGAATGGTGTTAGCGTCAGTATAAAGCATCAAGATGAACAAGGAACTTAATTTGGCTGGTTAGTTGAATGTTTAGACTAAAATCTAAACAATTTTGAATAAACTTGGTGAAATCGTAGAAAAGCAATATGAACAAATCACACATTTTGTTTATTCCAACATATTTATTGTAATGTACAAATTAAACTTATTCACGATACTAAATTTTGGACTAATCATAGAAGTTTAAATTAGCTTCCTGAAATACAAATCTAAGTATCTAACACTATTGTTTGAATACTCAGCTTTTACATTGTGTTCCATGCATGAAAATGAGGCCCATTATCGCTGTCATGCGAGAGATTGAACCGACAACATCCCACATAGAGAGGAATACCTTAACCGAGCTAGCAGTTGTTGGCAGAATGGCAGGTCTAGAAGTTCAGATCAACTGCTCATTGACTGGACCAAATTAAACCACATTTGGACAATTGGGCTGATCCTATGTACTCTGTCATGTTGTGGACTCTGTATTTCCAGAATCATCTATATGCCTCCTAGACAGAACAGTGGCAATATCTCTGGTGCCTGTCATGTTTATGATTCATTGATTTGTAATATATAGTTGCTTCAGTTCGGATTACATCTGAAACATCACTAGACCAGAACATGTGAGCATGATAAGATTGCTAAAACTTTGTTTTAGCTAGAAAATCATCTGATAAACATTTGGTTTTAGCATCGAAAAGTTGGTGTGGATGCTGAAATGGAACAAAGCGAAAGCAAGTCTTTACATCTGATGATGTTGAGTGGGAAAATAGATTAGCTAGGGAGAGGGAAAAAAAAAGTCTAAAGTTTGATTGTGCCTCATTTTCATGCATGAAATTCCATGCAAATTTTTAAGAGTGCATGCATGTATATATTCTCCACTCTATCTTTTTTCTTTTTGCGATTGTCTGCAAATCATGGTGCTATGATGATGGTTTCCGATAACTTTCTTCTTCTGCATATTTTCCAAGTATCATATAGTGTAATTTCACACTACCCTCTTATGCAATGGATTGATATATTGAGCCTATGTTTAGAATATTCATGGCCTAGGTTAGTGACCTCCATTGCACTCAGGAGGGGCGCTCGCCTCAGATATCTCCAAGTTGGATAGTCTACGTCATAATTTGTTGCTGAGGGGGTACGCGTTCGCAAGTCCCCTACCAATCTTAAGATAAAGTTTATACATATACCCAATGTTTGGAGTCTGGTCAGTAAAAACTTGATTACTTTTATAGATATTACAATTGGCTAGGATACTTGTATATGACAGACAACACCACTTCTTAATTCTAATCCTCAGCTAACTTCTTCAAACCGATTGGTGTTACAAATTTGGGATCCTCGTCGTATAAAGTTTGAGCTGCCAATTTGGCTGCAGCCTGTGTTGGATGCATCCAATCCCAAAACAGATACTCGTCACGGTTTGGACAAAGACCAAATTTTATTATACATGGAATCAAGTCATTTCCACAACAAGGGCTCGCCAGTTCCGTGAAGTCTAAAATACAAGAAAACCAAAAATTATTCTTGTAAGAGTACTACAAATAATGTAAAGCTTTCTATTTATGTTATCCAAATGAAATGCTTACTGTATCTGTAAGCATTAGTCAAGAAATAAATCGCCATCTCATACATATTCCCAAGAGAGTATTTCATTTCTTTTAGTTCAGAGCCGAGACGAGCCAACATAGTTACCATTTTCAAATGGAAAATTTGAGAGAACTTGTTCAAGTCCTCTACACAATCTGTATCATTGTAAATTCTTTGAGCTGGGACACATCCGATTGCTGAGACGCTTATTATCCCAAATTTTCTTGCTCCATTTGAATATAAAATCTGCATAGTTAAGATTCAAGTACTGCTTACTATAATCGAACGACAAAAAATGATCAAAAGAAAGAAACTTCCCACCCGTAAGTGATTCTCGTATGCATCTGCAAGTGTGGCAACAAACTTCTCCTGGTTAAAAGTTCCATTGAGCAAATAAAATCCCAAAATGTCATTGCTTCCGATGCTAAGGAAGTAGATAGACTTAGAAAGTAGTCTATCTGTCGCCTCTGGCCCTAAGATTGCAGTAAGATTCCCGCGGACAGTTGCAAATTGTTGTATCTGTTTAGTGAGGAAAAATACCTGATCCTGTTGATTTGTCGAAAAATTGTTACAGTTACATATATGTACACAGCTATAACTTTAAGGTAGATTTAAGGAAAGACTTACTGCAAATCCCCCTGCATGGTCAAGTACTTCAGCCGCTCCTGACGCAAAATTGGCACCATGGATTATATCGTTGGGAAGACGTAGGGTTGACCTGTCTAGAAGATCCAGAAAAGGTGGAGGACTCTTCCTAAATCCCATCAGCTGGGCTGTTACAATCAATCATGAAATGTTATATACTACAATTAACAGTTACCTAAGAATGTATGGTATTACTGGAATAAGCTAGGGAAAAGTAATATTACATACAAAGAAAATCGGCAATGTTATAACCATTACTAAACCTCCCAGTAGCTTTCGAGCCAGGATAATCAATACCATTGGGAGGATAGTTTGCCTTTGCCTCTTTTGGTATGTTGAAGTGGTTATTGGTCCCAACATCAACCGTAGAGTCCCCAAATATGAATACAGCCGGAACAGTAGTTGCATCCACAGCCATGAACAGTGATGATACTAGTAGTACTAATAAGGAATACAAAACCCATTTCTCTTCCATGGAAGTTAAACTGAATTAGTGTTCTTCGTAAGATGATTCAATTTAAAGGGAGTACTCTATTTGTCGTTTAACATCCAACTGTCACAAGCATCAAGAACGAACAAGGCACTTCATTTAGCTGGTTAGTTAAATATTTGGCCGATCAATTGATACGTAAATAACTTGGTGAAATCGTAGAAAAGCAATAGGACAAATCAGAACATATATATTTATCGTAATGTACAAAGATCAACTGAACTGTCACAAAGCAAAACTAGTGATATATTATAATGTTAAGTACACTATTAGCAATTACAGATTCTTTGGGTCTAGGTAGTAACGATGAGCTTTTATGTCATTCAAGATTGCAACTCTACGGTTGTCAGTCTGGTATGTAATGAAGCAATTTTTTATTAGGAGATTAAGGTGTGGTCATGTACTCATGTCATTAAGCTGATACAGCATGAAGAAAGAATCCTGCATTCCATCCCTTGACTGTAGTCTCAAGCTCTGCACAGCTGCTTGTTCCTAGACTGCTTCTTCTGCGTGTCCTGAACTGACAGATTTCTGCCGCTGCTTCCATTGCCCTGCTTGATGTGCTACCCTGTTTTCTGCTGTTGTTCCTGGACATTGACATGTTTCACAGTTTCAGCAACAACTTAAATCTCTTCACTGCTCCGTCTTCAGCTGCTTCTGTGCCCTGTCGCCAATCTGCTGCTGCTGTTAAACAACAAAAACCCCATCATTACATGTTTCTGAAGCTACTACTCTGCGTTCTCATAAAAATATATCAACCCAGCCACACCGCAGCTCACTAAAAGTATGCCCTTTCCTATGATGGAAAGTCTCCTTGCTTATCTCCATCCAAACCCAAAGGGCTAGCCTCGGCTCACTGTTGAGTGTTGAATATCATTGTGTTGCGCATACACCATATCACCCAAATGGTGGCATATGGTATCTGTAAGTACCATAGATCCCACTATGATTTAGCTTACGTGGAAAGCATGAAATACATTGTCTTTTAGCGGAGCACGTGACCGGCACATACTCCAGCTATTCGCCTATTTGCCACTTGTTTGACCACAGTCAAACAAGTAAGGGAATACAAAGATATCATCGCTCCACGTGGCACTCCATACGCCGACAGATCTAAAAGTTAATCTAACGATCACGAACAACTAGGTATGCACTCCTATAAATAGGGACAAACACAAGATCCCAGGTAGGTTCCATCCCATCATCTACAGTAGCCGCTTCATTCCTTTGGTCCTCCATTAGTCTATCTATACTAACTTAAGCATCGGAGGACTAACGCTGGTATCCCACCGACGCCCCCCTTTATTTGTCCTTGTGCAGGTTGACCCGTATCTCGAGGAAGAAACTGTAGAAGAGGACATACAGTATCGTTGCACTTATAGTAGTTTTATACCCTTTCTAAAACCATTTGGTCCCAGTTTCGGCCATACTGACAAGAGAGATTCTGTAGTGTTGTTAGTCTTGAGAGAGTATATATCGTCTTTATACATGGCGCCAATATCTACTTAAACATGTGGATTACAACCATAGTTCAAATTATCGGACATATCTTTGAGAAATTAAATACACGAAAATATACACGAATATTCACAAATACTCGGCTTTTACATTGGTTTCTACTTTTTAGTGTCGAAATCTCAGCATTTCAAACTATATGATTACAACTAGCTCGAGATTTTCCTTTGCCAGTAACATTGTATTCTCAGGCAGTCTTTCTGCCACTAACATATCGATCCATTGCATATGAGGGTAGTGTGAAACTAGGCCAAGCAGTACAGTCTAAACATACCATAAAACTTTCCCTTTTTTCTTCATATCAGTTACTTGATCAGAAGCCGCATATTATTGATGACCATATGTATCTCTCTTTCTCGACACGTCCCTGTCGACAATTCTAAGAAGAAACGCAACTTGAACATCAACTATCATTCTTACCAACCAATAATAAAGATAAGAAAAAATGCTGTCATGAAGGTATAATTCCAATGGATATTCCCTTAGTAGTTTGGCTTATACCCTACATTAATAAAAGGGGACTTTTAACAATGAGATACATCATCATATGTTCTTCAGTAGCTAGCTTTTGGATTTGTTATGTAGCAGATATGAATATGTTTTGTTGATTGTCATCTAATTATGTTTCCCTGTGTAAAGTACAGTTGAGCATATAATATATTGAAATTATGATTAGATGACCATCAGCAAACACATTCATATGTTGGCAACTATCTTGTCAGATAGCTCTAAGTCACTTCTTTCCTTCAAATATCTTCCCCTTTCTACTTTCGATTATCTTCTGATCACCACTTCGATCACTTAACTTATTTCTGCATTTACATTAGCACCGACTGCTAATTCGTGAATGAGCAATAACTAGACAAAAAACCATGGCAGCTGGAGTCACACAAGACCAATTCGACCAACTCCAGAAGCAATTTAAGCTAAGCCCTACTACATGATACTTGGAAAATATGCAGAAGAAGAAAGTTGGAAACTATCATAGCACCATGATTTGCAGACAATCTCACATATATTGTAGTCCAACATGGTAACTACTTGAGACTTTTTTTTTCTCTCCCTATAGCAAATCTGTTTTTCCACTCAACAACATCAGATGTAAAGATGACTTGCTTTCCCTTTGGTCCATTTCTCTGTGTAAAGTTGATGAGCATATATAATATTGAAATTATGATTAGATGACCATCAGCAAACACATTCATGATTCATATTATCTTGTCAGATAGTGCAGCCACAATTACCCCTTCATATATGTAGGCAACTCTCTTGTCAGATAGCTCAGCCACTTCATCTCTCCTTCAAATCTCTTCCTCCCATCTCCCCTTCCAATCATATTCTTCACCACTCCGATCACTTACTTATTTCTGCATTTAAATTAGCGCCAACTGATTCGTGAACGAACGATAACTATATATGGACAAAAACCATGGCAGGAGTCACACGAGCAATTCGACCAACTCCAGAAGCAGTTTCAAGACCCTGCTACATGCACAATCAAACTTTGATCTTTTATATGGTAACTATTTGAGACTTTTTTTTTTCTCTCCCACTCAACAGCATCAGATGTATAGAGTTGCTTTCACTTTGGTCCATTTCAGAAGCCACATCACCTTTTCAGATGACTTTGATGCCTACGAAACGAAATCCCCCTTATCGCTGTTATGCGAGAGATTGAACCTACAACATCCCACATGGAGAGGCATACCTTAACCAAGCTAGCAGCTGTTGGCAGAATAATATGGCAGGTCTAGAATTTCAGAATTCAGATCAACTGCTCTTTGGCAATTAGCACTGGGTTAGTACTTAGTACTTAGTAGACTTCGCGCTCATTGGACTGGGCCAAATTAAACCACATTTGGGCTGATCCTATGTACTCTGTCATGTTGGCCCAACATGATTAAATTGTCCATATCCATCT